AAGATTCCGAGAGAAAGACCCTCGGATGATGAAGTACCCGACGGTTTTGACACGACGAGTGACAAACAGAACGGAATTACTACGGGGGAGCGATGTTTCCCGGATTTCCAAGTGATAATTACGCGGAAGTGAGAGGACGTGAAAAATGTTATTCCGCGCGAACAACCCCGTTTTAGCGTCTCGATCGCTATCTTCTCGAAGGAAAGAGGAAAGTTGGATTTAAGAAATCCACCTTGTTCGGCATTATATTTCCGCGACGGCTCGACGTCGAAAGGACGTCTTTAACGATTCGGGGAGCAGTTGAGTTTTCAGCGAGAACGTGAAATCGTGCCTCGCCATCGCACTCGTTGACCGTTTCTTCGTGAGGATATATATCGCGTATATATCGTTAAACCTTGTATTTTTATCGGCGACGCGACGTTTCCCACAACGGAAGCGTGACAAAACCGGGTTGCTTTGCCGAACGCTCGGAGCACGAAAATGAAAACATTTTCCGCGCTTTCAGACTACCTGCCGCAGGCTCTCTCGTGCAGAAAATAATACCTCGTGCGTGCGATTGAGTATATGTGCCGCAATCTGCGACCCGATAATTTATTATAATGCGGAGAAAAAGTGCCATTGGATGCTTGATATCGTTGTTTATTAGGAACGTTAATTACGGATTTATTCGTTAGGTTTTCGAGTTGCCTATATGTGATTTTCGTGAATGTATATGCGAATAATGACGATAATTTAACCCCGTGATAGTAAGACAATTTATTCGAATAACTGTTGTAAACATTGTTATTTTTAATACGAAAGAATGGCGTTATTTTTATACGAAAGAATGGCCCATATTCCGAATCCTTTTTTTATCGATAAAAATGAGATTTCTGATTGGCTATAAGTTTTTTTTAGAGATACTTTTATCGATGAAAAAGAATTCAGAATATGGATCTACATGCCTGAATAAATTGAACGATAAATCCTACAAAAATCATTGATCGTCACAGAAAATTTAAATTTCCTGTTAGTAAAAATATTTTGAAGAAAGAAATTTAAAAAGGGGTTAAAAAGAATAGAACGGATAGACGAGTTCAAAGTGTTAAATGTTCCTTTAAATTGGATGAAAACCTTTGCTTTTATTTCTGCTGTAAACGTCACTGAGCATTTTTTTTTGAAACTCTCTTTGATCTGCAGTTACAAGTAATTTGACGATGAAAAAAATTGCAAACTGTCGAACTTTTGAATCGTTTTACATACACATAAATATACGTATTTACGTATACAGGAGAGATATATCTCTTTAGCGTTTTCATATGGTTTCTATCTGACTAAACTCAACTCGTAAACGTTATTGCCAGTCAAAAGACTGAAATAAACGAATTGGTAAATGATTGAAATAAACGAATTGGTAAATGCACTTCGTAACCGCGCAAGATTTTGCGAAGGAACGCGAGGTCACTACATTAATTTTCGTTTGGAATGACATTTCCATCTACTTTGCGATCATATTTTTTGTAACGTTCCGAAAAGTGCAGTCGCAATTTGATACGGAATTTATATTCTATGTATCGAACGTTCTTTAAAGTGCCAGTTGCAGCTGTATAAATGTATTCGTTCGTTAGATCTTCCATTCAGAAGTTAAATTGACTTTTCCATATTTAATACGATCATGTTAAACACTATAACTTTTTAGTATCAGGACTGCGAATCTAATTACTAAAATGCTGCCCTTTGATAAGGCGGACAAAGAGAAAGAGAGGGAGAGAGCACGAGTCGAAGGACTTGGTTTACCAAATGACAGTCACGTGACACTAAACGATCTGATTTGCAGAGGACATCCCGGACGACATGAACTCGAGCGGAGAATCCGGCGGAACGATGTCGGAAGACTATGAAGTCGGAGGCTGCAGCGTTCCAGAAGAGGAGACGGGCTCGAATTTGCCGACATGGGAGGCGGTGGCGGCCACGCTGACCTTGGGCTTCCTCGTGCTGGCGACGGTGTTTGGTAACGCGTTAGTGATCCTAAGTGTGTTCACGTACCGGCCACTCCGAATTGTCCAAAACTTCTTCATCGTCTCGCTGGCGGTGGCCGATCTCGCGGTGGCGATACTCGTGATGCCGTTCAACGTAGCCTATCTGCTGCTGGGCAAGTGGATCTTCGGTATCCACCTGTGCAAGTTGTGGCTGACGTGCGACGTGCTTTGCTGCACCGCCAGTATCCTTAATCTCTGCGCCATCGCCCTGGACCGTTATTGGGCGATCACCGACCCGATCAATTACGCTCAGAAGCGCACCCTCAAACGAGTCCTCGGAACGATCGCCGGCGTGTGGATTCTTTCGGGCGCCATCAGCTCGCCGCCGTTGGCCGGTTGGAACGACTGGCCGGAGGAGCTGGAACCGGGCACGCCCTGTCAGCTCACCAGACGACAGGGATACGTCATATACTCGTCGCTGGGATCGTTCTTCATACCGTTGCTGCTGATGAGCCTGGTGTATCTGGAGATCTTCCTGGCGACGCGCAGAAGGCTGCGGGAACGGGCCCGACAGAGTAGACTGGGCCCGGTGCAATCCATCAGGCACCGCGACGACGCCGAGGAATCGGTCAGCTCGGAGACCAATCACAATGAGCGCTCGACGCCGCGTCTGCAGGCGAAGCCGTCGCTGATCGACGACGAGCCGACCGAGGTGACGATAGGTGACAACGATCGTCGCACCACCGCATCCACCAGACGAGGTGGTACCGGCGACGCCGGCCCCGCCACCTCGGCGACCGTCTATCAGTTCATCGAGGAGCGACAGCGGATCTCCTTGTCGAAGGAGAGACGCGCGGCGCGGACCCTGGGCGTCATCATGGGCGTCTTCGTCGTTTGCTGGCTGCCGTTCTTCCTCATGTACGTCATCGTGCCGTTCTGTCCGGCCTGCTGCCCGTCTGAGAGAATGGTGTACTTCATCACGTGGCTCGGCTACGTCAACAGCGCTCTCAACCCTCTCATCTACACGATCTTCAATCTTGATTATAGAAGAGCGTTCAGGCGGCTGCTGCGAATCCGCTGAGCCATCGTGACCGTCGCGTTTTTTGGCCCATGGGCTTTGTCAGACGAGGGGGGAGAGGGAGGGGAGGGGGAGGAGGGATCCTCGCAATTCCGTTCGGGGCGTCCGGCCGTCCGAGTCCCTCTCGCCGATCGCGAATCGCGCCAAGTCGGTCTCGCAACGATCGGTCGTAACAGCCTTTACGTAACACGACTTCTATATCCGCCGGATTTCTGTCTGCTAACCAACGGCAGTCGTTAAGTAAGTTCTTCGTCCAGGGAAAAGCGCGTCGCTCGTCGTCAGGTTGGCGATACGCCACAATCGCTATCACAATTAACGGTAATTTAGACGCTTCGTTCACGCTAATCGCTTATTTGCGCGCAGCTCGTTACGTTATGCGCGAAAACTTGGCGTTGGCACAGAGACGACGACGACGACGTGAGTTAGGAAATAGGCAAAGCGTCGCGGAGCGAGAACCCGGAGCAAGTAGGTTACCAGCAAATTCGCAGGATTATTATCGTTTTACACCGAGTTACGAACTAATCCCTAACTTGATAATTTATTTTCGACTACCACGTTTAATTAAGATATCGATCCTGTCGGCGCGAGTAATTACGTTTATCCGATGAGTAGCAATGAAGAAAACACGGCAACACGGCAACAAGAAAATCGTAATTCTCTCAATCAAAGAATAACACGTAATAATCCTATCACGTAATAACAATTCAATTATTTACATCGAACAAGAGAGAAATGTGCGTGAGCTTCAATTAGACGGTAAATTTCGATGTAAACAGACGTAACGGAAGGAGACCAAAGATCACCTTCGCGAATATTATTAAAATTGGTAAAATTAATGTGCCACTAGTAATCGAAGATTTATAAAGTTTCTTGAATTATTACGCGACTTTCCAAGTAAATCCTTTTTTATGAAATGAAAACTTGAACGCCGTAAGAACCTCGAAAATTTCCTTCAACTGGTATAACGGATTGCCGCGATTCGAAGAGAGCCCCGAAGAGCGATGTGCACTTACCGTCCGGAACTTTCCCGGGAAAATTTATCAGGGATCCCACGAAGATACTGGGAAAATGGATACGGTTTCATCTAGTGCGCGAAGGGGAATGGCAATCAAGATTGGCACCCCAGGTCGGGACGCTCTAATCCGTTCCTGAGGAGCTTTCAAGGACGAAAGTCGAAGGGAAACTTTCTGCGGAAGTAATAGAAGAAATTATGCTTTTTAATGAATTATTTCCACCAGCGACTGCCCTCTCCGAGCACCATTATTATAAAACTTTGTCTGCTCTCTATGAATCTTCTTTTCTTCCTGTGGTCCCGACGATCAATCTAACGCTGGAAGATGATTAATGATTGAATTTAGCGCCTGAGAGCGCGAGAATGCGATTTAACACTAGATCAATAATGCTCGATACCGGATTGTAATGGAATCGGGGTCATCGGGGGAGGTCTCGCGAGAAGCCACCGCCGTTCCTTTTCCTCCTCGTGCGCGATCTTCGTCGCGCAGTTTCCGGCTCCCAGATGGACGAGAGAAAAAGGAAAATGTCTCCGCGTAGAAATGTTGAGAAACTGTCGGCTGGTTTTGGCGAACGCGCGTCGACGAAAAGAAAAAGGAAGAAAGAAAGAAAAAGAAAAAGAAGAAGAAGGACAGGACGTGCT